TAATGAATTTTTTTCAAATTGAGGTGGCCCGTGGCCCCCCTGGACCCAATGTGGGTCCACCCTTGCCCGTATAATTTGTGTTGGTCCGGTACCCTGAAGAGATGATATCAGTAACTAACAATCCTTTTCTTTATGCAGATTGATGTTGATATTGGATCATCATCTGTCGCAAGGGGCGTCATTGGTCTTGTCCTTGGATATGTCACAAGCATTGTTGTTGACCTTGCCATAGTTATAGAGGTTTGTATATTATTGTTTCTTCACTTTCCCTATGACGTTGCATATATAATATATGTATATATGTGATGAATTAGTATATTAATGAATCATTATCACTCTTGGAAGGTGCACCGGCAATAGGATTGTGAAATTTCGTTTCGTTTCACAAGTATAGTTGGTTCAGAGTGTGGAGAAATTATGTTTTTCTTTTGCTTGTTGCTACACAACATAATACTTACGTTCATTAACCAGTCCATTTCTTACGTGCTAAGCAATTTTACATGTCAAAGAGTTGCAAGTCATTTACACACTTGCATTTTGGACTTGCTAACAATTTATTCTACTTATTTTTTAGAAAGCCAAGTTTTTCTTCAGAATCAGCTTACAATATCAGTTTTTTGCATGTCTCACTTCTAATTATGTATTTTCGCTGCTAATCGTACGTGAGATTTTGCTTTTGTCATAGGCAAAAGAAGCTTCAGAACTCCCAGAGTACATTCTTGGAACCGTTAGGCTAAATCGTGTACAGCTTGATTCTGCTGTGCCCTTGGAAGTGTGAAGTCCGATTTAGTCTATATATGTTATTCATTCTCGTCACGGTAACTAAACCGGCCTTTCTTGTTAACTGGACCCGCATTATCCGTCATTCTTGGCAAGCATTCAACATTGTTATTTGTAAATTGTCGTGCGACTCGGTCTCAGAGAATTATGATTGATTTTGATTTTTTTTTTTTTTTTTAAGATGTACAGAAGTCGAGCGTTCTGTGTTGGAAGTAGGAACTACAAGTTGATGAAAGTCCCTATTTTTTTGTCTGAGTTGGCCGTTCTTATGTTTATTCCTAATTTCAAATGAGCTTTTTTTTTTATTTTTTTTTTAATTTTATTATTTTTTAAGTGCGCTTCTTATTTTTAAGTGAGCTTCTTATGAGTTGAATGGGTTTATCTACAAACTAATTCAATTGAGAAATATGATGAGTATTATTATGATTACTTTTATTCAAAATAAATTTAGCCAATCGTGTTGATATAACACTCATAAAGCTCGGCGGATTGGTCAAGAGTGGTTAGCTCCGGTTAACTGGTTAGGAGTAACTTCTACCTCGGTAGCAGGGTCTTGACTCCGTCAAAGAGTTCGATGTAGTAACTTAAGGTGCGGGTCAGCTTCGGTTTGAGTTAGTGAGTTGGGCTCGTTCGGGAGCTTGAATAGAGGAGTGGTCATGATCTGTAGGTTGAGTTAGTGAAGGTTATATAAACCCAGACCTAGGGCGTGAATAGATATAGATATATATAATTTTGATTGATTATCTTTTGTTAACTGCAATTAGTTTTGAAAAAAATGTTTTGATTAGTTTATAGTGAGATTTTAAGTTTGTATTGATATATTATTTAAAATAAAATGATTAAAATTAATTTGATGTAAAAGTATATGTATAAATAGAATGAGCCTTTCTATAATAAAAAGATTGTTGTTAGGCATAGTTAATAATGAATATATTTTATACTTAAATACCATAGTTTTTATTTTTTAAAAAATGACATTCCACATAATAAATAAATAAAAAAATGTTCAAAACATAAAGGGCTCGTTTACTAGGGCGGACAGGGATTTGGTGGGACAAGACTAATTGTCCATCCAGTCAGCATGTTTAAAATCCCATCCACTGCTTACTACCACTTAATGCCACTTTTTATTCCTATCCTCTGTTTACTAGACATTTTGTGCACCTAATGATAAAACCAGCAAAAGACAGTTTGGCCCTCCATATTGTCGAACAAAATCTGACGACCCGATTCATAATTTTTTCCCTCTTGCCCTAAGGTCGACGAAGACGCCAAATCTGTGGACCGGCGATGGTGGCATTGAGGTAGACAGCGAGACGATCTCGACCAATCTGCACCGTACGAGGCTGTAGGGAAAGTTACGAGGTTGGCCGCGTCGCCATTACTCGATTGTGTACGTACAGTGAAATCAAACAAGTCACACCCTTTGCGCATCCGATTAATCGGACTGAGTTTGGAAAATTTTCAGGTATTCTTGTGGTACTGATGATTATACTTTATATCGTGCTCAAGTTTTGTTGATTTTTCCTTGAACTTCCGGATTAGGGTTTTGAGAAGGAATTTGTTTGGGCATATCTATTCTAACCTTGATTATACTTTATGTGCGTGTTGTGTTGAGGGTGAATTCAACAGAATACTAGTAAGCAAGCTCTTCCAACACATACCTTGATTATACTTTATGTGCATATCTATTCTAGCCAAACTATCTTTGTAAAACGCTTCTATTTTATAAGCTTCTTGTTTACTGTTAATTGTACAAGTGCCTGTTTTGTGTTTGAACACATGATTGTTTTGAAAAGCGAGATTAAGGATGTTGATGTTGTGTATTTTATTGTATGCTGGAAATGGAGTGTTATAGAACATGATATCATGAATTGTTTTTAGGTCCTCATATTTGTAGTTATTTTTTCCTTGGTTACGCCCACCATTGTTTCATATTTGAGGTTGAATGAATATAAAATAGTAACAATTTTTCATGTTAAATTCACTTATGATGGGGAAGTAACTGGCTAGAGTGTATGTGTGATGTATTCTGATGTTTGAGAGTTCTGCTGTTGGTGCGAGTAGGGTGGAAAAAAATTTAAGTTGATTTGTCGGATTGTATGATGTTTGAGAGTTCTGATGTTAAGTATGATTTTTGGGAGTTCTGATGTAATGTTAACTCCCTGGTCGGGTTTATATCAGTTGATTTGTCGAAATGTTGGATAAATATTAAGTTTTGCATTACTTATAATCGTTGGGAAAATTGTGGGGTTGTTTTACGTGGAGCCGCCTTGTTAGAGTAGGATACCCGGCGTTCCAATCGGATTGGACGTATTCTACTTGTAAATACTATCTATTGGAATTATATTGTAAATAAGGCATTACTTTATCTTAAGAGTAAGTTTTTATCCTATAATCGCACTTAAGATAAAATCCTTAAATTACTTATGGTTATAAGGTATGGTTGCGCATAGAGATGGTGATCATGGAACATAACTTGAAAGCTGTGATTTTAAATAAAGTTCCTCGAATAAGTATTTTCATGTTACAATAGTACATGACTAATCCTAAGACTTGTGCATATTACATTCTACTTTGATTTATCCTTTTGGTTGCTAGCACAATCGTATAAAGGGATATTTTGGGTATTATGTTAATATGTATGGAAGTTTGTTAGTGGCCTACAAAAGATTCGACACTTATGAAGATAAGTGAATTTTCTATGTGTTTCATAGTTGGTAATTCAAAGTCCTTGGCCAATGCGGGATGAATAGAGATTCATACACGGATTACTAAATATGAAATAAAATCAAAGTTATTAAATCAATTTGGGTTTCGACTAAAATCATACCCAAGATTTAATCGGGAAATTGGATGTCGAAAGGATTCTACATGTATGTACTTGTAATCGAAATAGGTTTATTCGCTATTCACTTAATACTAGATTCATGCTACTTGCTAGGTGTTCCCATGATATGTGGGTTCTTGAATTAAAGGGGTTAATTCAAGAATAAGAGTTAATAAGATTAACTCAAATTACAATGAGTTGTAAACCCACTACTAGTATTAATTGTGAACCTAAAAGGTCACACCAATGTTTGTATAAAGACAAATATTAGTATTTTTAAAGAGTTAGAATTAATTGACAAAATCTAATTTTGATTAGATGTCAATTAAAGAAATATATTAAATTAATCAATTGAATTGATTAATATTAATTTAGTGACTAATGTAATTACTAAATTAATAGTTGGATTTTAAAATTGGATTTTTAAAATTCAAATCCATATAATAATATGATTATTATATGAAAGGAGAATATTAAATATAATATATATGTTTACAAATGATTTTAAAAGAGTTTAAAATTATTTGTTTATTATTATTATTGATTTTTAATGTTGATTAAAAATTAAATAATAATGATAATAATATAATAATGACAAGATGGAGTCTTGCAATTATTATATTGTTGTATTAACTTGTAGAAATGAGAAAAGATTTTTTAATTTTGCTTGTCAAAATTATTCAAGACTTTTGTAACATTTCTTGTAAAAGTTATACAAGTCATATATATTTTATTGCT